AAGAATGCCATATCCCATTTTATATGTTACTTATATACCCTCCCAGACAATGACTCGAACCTGTTACCTGTATGCTTGTCACAAGGTGGTAAGCACCGCAGAGAGCAGAACCAAACCAAAGCACCATACAACCCAGTAAAAAAAAAAGTTGTCTAATCAGAATCTAGATAGGTAATGTCCATGAAGCTAGTCTAGATTTTGGTTCGATAAACTTTTTGTTGGGTAGTATGGTGTACTGGTTTGGTTTTGTGCTCTCTGGTACTAACTACTTTTGTGAGTGGCAGATTCAAGGGTACATAAATACCTATTTCTTTTCATATCTAAAAATATTTCCCTACACCCATGTGTATTTACCTATGTATAAAAGTCTGTGGTCTTGCCAGTATCTTTGTCAGTTTGCCCTGCTTGCCTGTATGTTTATAAATATAGTGAAAAATTACATATTCTAAGGAAAGTCACTGTCTTATGACAAGATTTTTCACAGGTAAACAAAATTGAGATGAGGCTGAGCCACAAGGTACCAAGGGTGTAATAATTAAATGGATCATAAACTCTAATACTATTAAGAAAAAATACTAAAATTACTGGAATAAATAGACTCAAGCTGTAATAAATACCACTCCCATACAGGACACTGGATCATGACCTTTGTACATCTAACAAAACTTGATATTACATCACCTGTGCCCACTTGGAAAAAAAATATATATATTGCAACAATAATCAATAAAAAAAAAACTTTTTCAAAACCATTACATACAGCTCTTATGGAATGAGAAGTTGAGCAAGCACTGCACTCTGTTACACCAATTTACTTTTTTTCCCCATGATGAGATGTAACCCACTGTAAGTGCAGGTCAGTACTAGATTAGCATACAACATCAACCTGCATCAGACTGTTAGTAAGCAACATGTCATATTCAGTAGTTACATATCTGTAAGTAAACATGCCAATACTTTTGTACAATACATAGCGCCAAAGATTGGTTGAAAAATCTTTCTTTTTCTTTTGTTTTTGCCTCAAAATATTTTGAATATGTCTTTCTTCTTCTAAGAATAATCATCATTTATTCATAATAGTGTGCTCAAGCATACATTGCTGATAGACATCACAAAGTTTCCTTACATCCACTAAACTTAATTGTCATAACTAACAGTGTATGTTAGTTGAGGATTACCTGAAAATAAATTTTTTAAAGTTGCCCTTGAAATTTAAGCTAAAACATAAAATATAATAATAATAATAATGAATGAATAATAATAATGATACTAATACTAATACTACTACTAATAATAATCATAATAATAATAAACAGAGCCAGAGCTATTTAAATTGATATACAGCAATCTCTCGACTAGATATACATATACATTGCTTTACAAGAGAAGCATCTAAAATTCCATGGGCTACACCATATATCATCAACAAAAACTTCAACAATTATAAAGATTTTGAGAAATAAATATATATATACTATTGCAGAACTTGCAATTTGCATGTTCGAACTTCCTTATGATGTCCATAACAATATTGCTAGAGTCTTTATGTTGCCTTCCTCACTGTTGTCTCACAATCAATTAATTTTATTCATCAATTCAATTTTCTCATGCCTCTGGAATGCTTGAAGAATCATACTAAAACTATATACTTTTTCCCTTTTCACTTCAATCTTTTTAGATAAGAATCTTATTGATCTTAAAAAAAGAACTGAACAAAAGTCTTTTGTGTAGCTAACCAATTATAGACAATTTCTAATGTAAGCAACAAAACTCTACTGAAAGAGTATTTTTATACTTGATTCAACCTCACAAATTTTCTTACGCCAACACCTATCTAAAGATTCATTCTTACTCACTGTCAAACTTCACTTGCTCACTATCAAAATTCATCAAATAATTTGCCAGCAGACTCCCAACCTCACCATACTGGAGGTACTATAACTTTGAAAATATTAAGATGTCCGACACTTTTTTCATCATTTGTTAGCTCAGCATGTTACCCCCAAAACATTTTAGTATATGGTTCTCTAATGAAGAAGTTCCTGTCCACCCCTTGTAATACCAAGGAAAAGAGGACTAAAAAAATTCATTTCTTGAAAAAAAAAATCCTACACTTAGAGTAGAGATGCATTAACATTTTAGTATATGGTTCTCCAATGAAGAAGTTCCTGTCCACCCCTTGTAATACCAAGGAAAAGAGGACTAAAAAAATTCATTTCTTGAAAAAAATTCCTACACTTAGAGTAGAGATGCATTAACAGCATGTATGAATTTGAAGGTAAATTTCTCCACAACCCTTATTATATATGTTTAAAATGCACAACATACATGTTGCCATCATTTTTTTTACTTATGCCATAAATAACAAAATATTTGGAATATGTAAATGAAGGTAATAATATTTACTTAGTATTGTGATAACAAATGCTATCGTTTGATATGAGTATTAAAAAATAATTTAAAAAAAAAAGAAAAAAGCAAGAGGACCGGCTGCTCAGAA